AAGATACTGGTTTATAGTTTTCTATTTTTGTGGTGATGTCTTTGCCTTGTTTTGATGTTATGATTATGCTTGCTCCCTAGAATGACTCTGGGAGTGTTTCTTTTTCTATTTTGGGGGGACAATTTAAGTAGAATTGTTGCTAGTTTGTCTCTAAATATTTGATAGAATTCATCCATGAAGCCATTTGGGCCAAGAGTTGTATTTTTTCCTGTTTCTTATTTTATAATTAGCCTGTTCAAGTATTCACTTCTCTTTGTGTCTATATGGGCAGAATTTCTAGGAATTTGCCCACTTCTAGTTTTCACATGTATCGGAGTATAGCTTTTTAGAATATTCTAATATTGCCCATTTACTTTGAACTGGTTTTGTTGTGATTTCACCTCTTTCTTATTTGAATTATTTGTATCTTGTTTTTTTGTTAAAGAGGCTTGTTTGTTTTCTTTGTTAGGGTTAACCTTTTCAAAGAATAACTTCCTGGTTTCAATCATTTTTCTGTTTTTTTCATTGATGTCAATCTTTATTCATAAAATTTCCTTTCTTCAATAGGCTGTTGGTTTAACTTGTTCTTTTTCTGTTTGCTAGAAGTATTGGGATAAATAGTTAATTTTGCTCCCTTTTTTATGTGTTTGCTTATTGCTGTGAACCAGCCCCTTGAAGATCTTAGCTGTGCCTTAATTATATTCTACAGGTTTAAATATGATGTATTTTCATTTATTTAGGGGAACTTTTAAATTTTGTTTGTTTTCTTCTATAGCCCAGTAGTGCTCAAGCAAGATATTTTTTTTTAGCTTCAGTGTATTCTTTTTTCCATTGTAGTCTTGTTGTGGTGTGAGAAGATACTTTGTATTATTCCATGGTTTTTAATTTGTTGAGGCTTGCTAAGTGTCACACTGTGCAGTTAATTCTAGCAAATGATCCCTGTGCACTTGAGAAGAGAGTAAATGGGTCCTTTATTGGGAGAAATACCCTGAATACATATGAGGTCAAGTTGGTTGATTGTATAGTTTAGGTCTTCCATGTCTTTGTTGAATTTCTTTTGCATTGACTTGGTCTTTGTTGAGAGTTGTGTGGTAAGTCTCCTACTACTATTGTGCTATTTCTTTTAGGTCTGTCATTAATCATTGTTTTACCTATTTTGTAGGTCTATTATTAGGTGCATAGGTGTTAACTAAGGTTATGTCTCTTGATCTGTTGTGTGTTTAATCATTATATAGTGTCCTTCTTTATCTCTTATGCTGGTTTTAATGCTGAAATGTATATCAGAGATTAGTATTATCACTCTGGCTTTCTTATGGATGCCATGTACTTGATAGATTCCCCCCCCCCCTTGATTTTAGTCTGTATTTCTTCTTGTTTCTTAAATGTATCTCTTGTTGGAAACATATGGATGGGCTTTGGTTTTTTTTATCCATTCTGATACCCTTCCTCTTAATCAGTGCTTTTAAGCTGATTACATTAAGTATGATTATTTGACAGGCCAACTTTTATCATACTCATTTTGTGCATTCCTTTTTCTGTTGTTGCTGTTTATGTTAGTCCATGCACTTTTTTTGTTGTCTGTGTGAAGGACTTGACTTTCCTTAGTATTTCTTGTAGAGTTAGTAATATTTTCATAAATCCCTTAAATTCTTTTTTTTTCTGCAGATGACTTAATTTCTCTATCATATGTGATGGTCAGCTTTACTGGGTACGGGTCTGTGGCTGGCAGTTGTTTTCCTTCAGCCTTGTGTAAATGCCATCCCATTGTCTTCTTTCTGGCATGGTTTCTTCTGAGAAGTCAGAGCTAATCTAATTGGTCCTCCTTTGTAGATGACTTTTCCTTGTGCTGCATTTAGGGTTCTTTCTTTGTCTTTGATTTTACAGAGTCTGACTCTGAGATGTCTTGATGTTTTTCTTTGGGGTTCAAGTCTATTTGGACTTCACAGACTGAGTTGAATGTGTATGCCCATGTTTTTTTATGAAACCTGGAATATTTTATTTAGTACTTTTCCTACAGTTGTTTTTTTTCAGAGCTCCTCCATTTTCCCTCATTCTAGAATTTCAGTTGCATGTATGTCGTTTCCTTTGATGTCATCCCACATGATTCTGTTTCTTCATTTCCCTTCTGTCCCCTCTCTGGATTTTCTTTTTGTAAGATCTCATTTCCATTTTCCCTCATTCTAGAATTTCAGTTGCATGTATGTCGTTTCCTTTGATGTCATCCCACATGATTCTGTTTCTTCATTTCCCTTCTGTCCCCTCTCTGGATTTTCTTTTTGTAAGTTCTCATTGAGGCTCTTGTCCTCTGTAGCACTAGTTTTCCGTTCCATCTCTTCTGGTTTTCTTTTTTTTTTTTTTGTGCCTCTAGCATGTTGAAAAATTTCTGTAATACTGTTCTTGATAATCTGGATTGAATTTCCATGCTTTTGTGTTGTTCTTTTACTGTCTTTGTTATACTGTCTCTGGCCTGTATTGATTTTTTAAAAAATTGTTGTACCTCTTTATGGTTTCAACTATTTCTTCTATCATTTGTAGCTTTTTCAGTACTAGTTCTTAGAACACCACCTTGGCATATTTATTCTGCCTTTTTGTCTCTGGGGTGTTTAGTGGGTCTCTGATCTGGTCTGTGTTTTTTAGGGGAAGGCTTGATTTGTTTTTTTCCTGATGTTTAATCATACTTGCTGCTTCCTTGACATTGTGTGAAGTTATTCTTAGTGTGAGGTAGTTTCTGTTGTGTCTGCACAGATTGTTGTCAATTCCTTGTCTCTGTGATGCTGTTGGTAGAGCTGTAGATTGCAAGTGTTGCCCTTGACTCAGTTTCGTAGCAGTCTTCCCTGCTAGTCATCTGTGGGTGGTTCTGTTTTCCTGTGGTTTCTCATTTGTTGTACTTGGAGGGGCAGGAAGCTGGAGTCTCTCATCACTCAGCTGTATGGCTCACTTCTCTGTCCTGTCTTTTAGTTTGATGGGAGGGAGCTGTTTCCACGAGGAGTAGGCAAAGTTGGCTGCTTCTGTCTATATCATCTTCAGCATCCGGACAAGAGAGGTTGTCTCCCCTTTGAGCCGAAAACCCTTGGGGAGCTGGACAGTCCCAGGATACTTTCCTCACCAAGACTCTGTGGATTGGTGCTCTCTGTGTACGTCTGTCCTCTCCTGAAGTTGGATGGGGAGGAGGCTATTTACACCGAGCAGACAAAGCTCCTATGGATGAGGGAAAGTCCCGGGAATGCTGCCCGGATGGACCCGTCTTCTCCCCATGTCTCGGTGGTCAGTCGGTACTCCTGGTGTACTGTGGTTGGTACATGAGGCACTCTCCTCATTGCTGGCTCATCTGGCGTGGCCTGCAGGGCTCTTGCCTCTCTTCTGGCTAGGGCAGCTCAGACACTTGGGTAGTGGCCTGCAAGTCTCTTCCTCCTAAACTTTTAAGATGATTTTGAGAGCATCCTAGGTGGGCGTCTGCCCGTACTAGGGGGTAAAGGGTCCTGGAAGTCATGGAACATGTTAGGAGCTCTAGTAGCTCCCATTGACTGAGATACTACACAGCATGCTTAAGAACAAACCCCAGACCAAGCCCAGCATAGCAACAGCTCAGCCTCTCTGAGGCCTGTGTCCTGGCCTGCTAGCCCTCCCTCCACCAGGACCTCCACCCTAATGCCAGGATGCTGTCACTTCTTCCTGCATCCTTGCTCTCTTAGCAGGCCTGCTTCACCAACACCTTGATTTTTTTCCTCAAGATAGAGTTCCTTAGAGGAAAGGATGATGAAATTTTGTCTCACATGCCCTGGGCACATGGTCAGGAGGGGTGTGTCCTTGGAAAGAGACATCATGTTGGGAAGGTGGAGGACCAGAGAAAGGGAGGAAGACTCTAAGCCAAGTGGGTGGACACAGTGACTGTAACAATGGACTCGAACGCAGCAGAGGCCAGAGCAAGCAGGCTCATGGCAGGCTCTGTGACCACAGAGAATGGCTGATTGGGTCCTTCTGAGTGTTTACCTGGGTCATTAAGTCCCATGACCAAAAAGATGCACGTTCTTGGGGTTTTCCGCAGAGTTGACTCTGTTTGGTTCTTTGAGACAGACATGGATTGATAGCTTTCTGGCTCCAGCCGTTAATAGATTCTCCATTCTCATCTGGTCCTACCTTTGCTTATAACTTTGATTTTAAATAAAATCATGCTGCCATTTAGACAGGAACCTGAGATATGAACCCTTTTTCTCTGGTAGTTTTCTGACATTCATGACAAATGCCACAAGCAATAGTGCCCCTCAGGCTTCTCCCAGTGACCCCAGAGGCCATGACCAGCCCAAGGACCAGGCGTGCCTCCACGCCTGCATGTGTGGAGGAACCCAACCCTCAGACCAGAGTTTTGTTCCCAAATCTGGAGTCCTTTTCTTTTTTTGTATTCCTGAAGGCAGGGGAGGCAGAAACCCCACTCAGCACTCGAGTGGACAGTCTCAGGACCAGCTGTTAGCCGCTGGTCTCAGGACCACTGCTGCTAGTCCATTCCCACTCACAGCAACCCTGGGGGACAGAGAGGGACTGCCCATCATGTTTCTGAGCCCGTGATCATGGAAGCCGACTGCCTCTCCTTTCTCCTGTGTAGCAGCTGGTGGGTTCAGCTCACACAGTTCAGTTAGCCGACCAACACTTAACCCACTGTGCCACTTGGTCCCTCACTCTGGACCAGACTTCCCAGTTCATCCTCAGTGTGGGAGCATCTCAGGGGCCTCTTTGGTGACATGCTGTCGGCCTGCCTGTGGGCAGGTTTCCTGTTGTCCTAGTGACTCCACCCAGCCCAAGGACAGTACTCTATGTGTGTCTGACCTTCCAGAACTGCTGCCAGTGGACTGAAGCCTTCAGACACGAGCCCACCCCTGCTTTGTAGAGTAGTCTGTGAGCGGCTTGCAGATGGTCCCAGTGACGCTTCTCCAGAGAGATTCTTGTGGACTTTATGTTATTATTAAAAGCCGTTGTTCTGGGCCATGGTGTTTACATTTTTTTCTTTCCCCCCCTCTTTTTCAAAGCCCCAAGCGAAGGGTAAGATCTACGTCCAGAGTCAAGGTAAGAATTTAAAAATATTTTGGTTTGATTTTTAAGCACGCAAGTGCTTTTCACTAGGGGCACATAGCCGTGTTTGTGACATGATGAGATATATGTATGAGCTGGACTGTGATGAGAGTTTCATAGAAGGAAAAGTTAAAAAACAGTGTTTACATAAATGACCTAGTGTTAAGAAATTGCCTTGCCAACCCAGAGGTGGGTGGTTCAAATCCACTAGCTGCTCCTATAGAGATATATGGGCCATCTCCTTAGAGTGTGATTTGTAGCCTCTTAAAAAGCACTGGTGAGTTGGTTCCAACTTGATGGCAGGGATGATGGCAGTGTAAATCACTGTTCTTACCTGAGAAGCCAGCTTCCGAGGGAACCCCTGCAGGTTGTGGGATGTCACTTGTGGACCCATGTTAGCCCTCAGCCTGGATGGTCCCTCCAGCTTCCTCCTCACTGGCTGGCTACAGAATTCTTGAGGGTTCATTTCCAGACCAAAATGTTGGTTTCCCAGCATGTGGGTTTGCTATGTTGACACTCGCCTGGAGTCTGTAAAAGGGCCCCGTGGCTTTGTGTTGGACTCCTAGCTAAAACGTCAGTGTTACTCATCTACTGGCTGTTTTGCAAGAAAAAAACAGGCAGGCTCCTCCTGAAAAGACTTAACACTCTCTGTAAACTCGGTGGAGGGTTCTTGGGGTGACTGGCCAGAGGGCAGTGGGTGTGGTCCTGGTTTTGGTAACCTACTATATAGTACATCCAAAGGAACCAAAATACGACCTTGAGTATATCCCACCTGAATTTAAAAATCATCTCAACAACTGCTTTGAGGCATTGAACACCAGTGATTGAAGACCAGAGGATCTGTGCAATGATAGCAGGGATATCCAGGAAGAGAGCATAAGGACATTACAGAGAAAGAGAAGAAAGGAAAAGCCAGAACAGTGTTAGAAGAAACTATGAAAATTGCATGAGAATGTCAAGAAGCCAAAACAAAGGGAAGAGATGCTGAAGTAAAAGAACTGAATAGAAAATTTCAAAGGGAAGCTTGAGAAGACAGAACAAAATATTATAATGAAATACACAAAGAGCTGGAGTCAGAATAAAGAGAGAAGAACTCATTTGACATTTCTTAAGCTAAAAGAACTGGAAAACAAACTCAAGCCTTAAACTGCAATACTGAGAGATGCTATGGGCAAAATCTTGAATGATCCAGGAAACAGCAAAAGAAGATGGGAGGAATACAGAGAGTCATTGTACCAAAAATAATTAGTTGATAATAAAAAAAAAATTCAGAAAGTTCTACATGATCAAGAGCCAGACGTAATAACAGAAGAAGTTCAAGCTGCACTGAGGGCATTGGCAAAAAAGAAGGCCTCAGGAACTGATGAGGTATCAGTTAACATGCTTTAGGTAACAGATGCAGCCCTGAACTATCTATGCCAGAAAATTTGGAGGACAGTTGCCTGGTCAACTGACTGGAAGAAATCCTTATTTGTTCCCATTCTCAAGAAAGGTGATCCAACAGAATGTGGAAATTATCAAACAATGACATTAATATCACATGCAAGCAAAATATTGCTGAACACCACCTTAAAACAGTACATTTACAGGGAACTTCCAGAAGTTCAAGCAGGATTTTAAAAAGTCCATGGCACCGGGGATAATGCTGATGTCAGACGGATCTTAGCTGAAGGCAGAGAATACCAGAAGAACACGTGTTTTATTGACGTGTGGCTAATAACTATGACTACATTGAGATGAGTGAGAATCCCAGAACACTTAATTATTCCCATATGAAATCTATATCTAGACTAAAAAGCAATTAGTTGAATGGGGCAAGGGAACATTGTTTCTTTTAAAATCAGGAAGGATGACATCAGGGTTGTATCTGTTCTCTCTGCCTATTCAGTCTGTATGCTGAGCAATTAATTTGTGAAATACTCCTCTATGGAGAGGAATGTGGCATCAGGATCAGAGGGAGACTTAACCTGTATTATGCAGATGACACACCTTGTTTAAAGTGAGGAGGGCTTGAAGCTCTTGCTGCCGAAGGATTACAAGCCTTCAGTATGGATTATATCTCAGCATCAAGAAAACCAAGGTCCTCACCACTGGGCCATTAGGCAACATAACGATAGATGAAGAAGGGATTAAAATGGCCAATCTTAATTGGCTCAAAGATCAGTACCCTTGATATCAACAGTCAGGAGATTAGGAGACACACTGCAGGGGGCAAGTGTGCTGTCAGAGACCTCTCCAGAATATGGAAGAGCAGTGATGTAATTTTGAAGACTTAAGATGCGCCTGATACATACGGGCCAGGTCTTTTGATCAGTTGCTATGTGTCTGAGAGCTGAGCAGTGAATAAAGGTGACAGAAGATGAATTAATGCCTTTCATTTGTGGTGATGGAGAAGAGCACCGAAGATCCCATGGACTTCCAAAAGAACAAACTGATAGATCTTGGGGAAGGTTCGGCCAGAGTACTTCTTGGAGGCACAGATGATAAAGTTTTGTCCTGCAGATTTTTGGGCATGTTGCTAGGAGAGGCTGTTCCTTGGAAATGCAGGGGCAGGTCTCTGTCACTGAAGTCTCTGTATGCCGGCACTGGCTTGCCTGCACCTGAGCTCCCTTTGGAGCCCTCCCTTTACAGTAGTGATGGAACTTGGGTCACAGAGCTGGGCACACAGCTTCGTGCTGGGCCAAGGCTCATCATCTCATTTATGGCCAGGAGAGCAGGTGTCAACCTGGAAGCTTGAGGTGAGAGCGTGGGCTTACAGGCAGCCTCTGTTGCCTACTCGTCATGCCATCTGAGGTGCACTCCTGCCTGTCCTCCTGGTGGGTGGGAGGAACCAGCCTGCCCAGTGGGTTTAGAGGCCTGGGAGGGTGTGGGGGCAGCACCTGGTGGGCAGTGCTCAGGGTCCAGCACAGGATACACTCTTTAAACTCACCCTTGCATGACTGATTCTGTCAGGAGGGGTCAAAGGACTGAGTTTTCATTTCTGGAGTTGCTAATTTCCCCCGTTACTACCATTACCCTGCTTTGAATGTTGCCTGTATCTCAAATTTAACTGGAATCCAGTTATTTGAAGAATGTGAGGCCTCACACATCCAATCCGAGAAGAGTGACGTGAAGACAGGATTTGGGAGGGTGGAGATGAGGAGAGTTCAGTGCAGGTTGGGTTTTGACACACGGGGTTGTTAGAGTTTAATTGGTGGTGCTTGAAAAACTTATTTCATAAGAAGAGCAAACTGCTGGTGGGGGAGTCTGCGTGTGCTCGGGGAACCCCAGCATGCGTCAGAGCAGAGATGTGTCCTTGACCTCTTCGCTGGCAGACATGTCACAGTGGATCACTATCCAGGCCTTTTCTGAGCTGTCTCTGGGTGAACTCAAAACTTTAATCTTTTGGTTAATGTCCAAATGTGTTGTTGGTGCCATTTAAGGCAGTATTTTTAAGGATTTTCAGGTTTTTGTGGCCCTGAGTTGTGGTAGTGGTACAGTGGTTAAGTGCTTGGCTGCTAACCAAAAGGTCAGGGATTAGGACCTCTCAGTCACCCCATCCATGCTGGTAGTCTGTTCTCATGAAGCTGGCAGCCTTGGAGGCCCTACAGTGAGCTCTGCTCCATGCTGTAGCGAGTCAGAATTGACTGGACAGCACAGAGCAAGACAGCCATGAAGCCATAAGACAAGGAACTCTGGTGGCACAGTGGTTAAAACTTGGCTGTTAACCCAAGTCAGTGGTTTGAGTCCACCAGTGACTTCCCAGGAGAAAAGATCCAAGGATCTCATCTCATAAATTCTATAGCCTGAGAAACCCTGTGGGTAGTGCCCCCCTGTCCTGTGGGATTGTTGCGAGTCAGAGTGGACTGACAACCATTTGCTCTGGCCCTGGTAGTGGATTGTGGATGGTTGTGGGGGGCCGTGGTTGCTCGTGTGGGGCCATGGTTGGTCATGGGGGGCCGTGGTTGGTTCTGGGAAACTATGGGTAGTTATCATTGGTCATGGGGGCCTTAGTTGTGTTTGGTTGTGGGGGGCCATGGGTGATCATGGGGGGATGTGATTGGTTCTGGGGGGCCGTGATTGATTCTAGGGGACCATGGTTAGTCACCGTTGGTCATTGGGACCTTGGTTGACCGTGGTTGGTTGTGGGGAGCCATGGTTGGTTCTGGGGGACCGTGCTTCATCATGGGGGCTGTGGTTGGTTCTGGGGGACCATGATGGTTTGTCATTGTTTGTGGGGGTTGGAGCTCTTTAGGATCCAGGATGCTCCGTAACCTGAGGTGCTAGGGGATTAACAGGACTCTGGAGTGCTCGTCCTATTGTGTGGCTCTGTATAACCCAAGTATGACCATTATTTTAACCTCAGTACAAAAGTTCTGGTGAAACACGGGTAACGTCTCAAAGTGAAGTGTCTCTGTTCTTGTTTTGTCGCAGGCATTGTAACGACACCAAACGCCACCTTCAGCTGGAACACCTTCCTTCAGCGTGCAGGTGAGATGGTCAGTCTGCTTGTCACACTGTCAGATGGTCAGTTGTTGGGGGCATGTACTCAGAATCAGATGCTTGTGAGAGAGGCTGGGAGGTTGACTGTTTTAGGGAATGAATGTAATTGACCTTGAGTGAGTGTTGTTGACCTTGTAGTCCTGTCTGTTGTTTGGCTGGAGTCATGGATGAGTTGTTCCAGGTTGGAAAGCTGACTAAGGCCTGTGATCTCAGGGTTTTTTTCACAGTCTCCATAAGGCCAGTAAGCCTTGCTGTTTTTGTGTTCTAGATCATGTTTTTAACCTTCTCAATCCATATAATATAAAAAAGGCAACCTGTGCTGAGGATTAACAGTCAGAAGGCAGGAAGGGATGGGGTAGAAGGATTAATGGAAATGAGAGTCAGCAGGATGAATCAGAGTGCTGTTGTCATTAACATCATAAAACGACAAAATGCTTATGAATGGTGGATGTCAAACCACTCTGCTCTGTAAACTTTGCCTCAGATCATAATCACTAGAAGGCTGGCAGGGTAAAGAAACCTGATTTAGGGAGAAGGATTGGGAGAGGCCTGACTGAGTCGGAGTGAGGGAGGAAGACTTGGTTCCTTTCCATCCTCCGGGGCTCTGGCCGTGCTTCTTCCTGTGAGGACCAGCAGGACCTTGACAAGGGGCAGGTGGGCTCCAGACCTGGGGTGCTGCTCTCAGAACCCACATCCTTCATGGTGCCCTTCACTTTAGAGCTTTGTTCTTAAGGATGACAGGCTTGTGTGCTCATTTTCTGTTCTTTTATTATTTAATCCACTCAACCCAGCGCATCCAGCTCAAACATAGCCACCCTGACCCAACCCAGTCACCTCATCCCAGCCTGACCTAGCACAACCCAGCTTGTTCAAACCTAGTCAGACCTAACCCAACTCAGCCAGCACAGCGGCCCCACTGCCGTCGAGTCAGGCAGGCTCACAGCAGCCCCGCAGGACACAGCAGAACCCCCACAGGCTGGAAGCTTCAGGGAAGCCGACGGTCTTATATTTCTCCCGTAGAATAGCAGGTGGAGGTGAGCAGCCAGCTCTTCAGTTAGCATCCCAGTGCGTAGTCCAGTGAGCTACCAGGGCTTCCTAATTAATAACAAGTGACAATGCTTGTTTCCAAATAAGATCATGTTGACAGGTACAAGGGCAAGAGACCTTCCGCAGCTCAGTCCCTAACAGAGACCATGGAGTGGCTGGTGGGTTTGAACTGCTGACTGAATGGTTACCAACCAAGAACATAACCAGTGTACTACCAGAGTCCCTTCCTTTATGAAATACATAGCTTATGAATGATTGTGGCAGAGAAGGGAGAAAACTGCATCATAATCAAACACAGAATTTAATTGCTAGAAATCCATGCTTTGCTGTGGTCTTTCTCGGTAGTTTCCCTGCTGATAATACGTCTTTCTTAAAAGACAAAAGAGCAGCTAATCATTCATACCAAGGAGTGTATAGGTGTTAGGTGCTATCGAATTGGAACCGACACCTTGCTGACCCGGCAGGGGGTTCTCGGATGCTGTAAATCTCATGGGAATAGATTGCCCATCTTTCTTCTACAGAGCAACTCAGGGATTCAGACTGCGATCCTCTGGGTTAACAGTGCAACTCCTTACACTCTAAAGAATGTATACAGACAACAAATATGCTGTGACACAGTGCTCACCATCACCTTTCGTTGGGTTATTGTAGATCAGAGGAACGAGGAAGCCCACTACAGACAGACGGCTTACTAGCTTATCCCTGACCTGCAGGGAGCAGCGAAGACCCCTGGGGAGAGGTAGTGTTGGTGCTGGGTGCTGTTAGGTCATAGTCAATGCATAGTGACCTCACAAGACAGAGGAGAATGCCCCTCATGGGTTCCTAGGCTGTGTCCTCTGAGAGAGCCCTGGTGGCCTAGTGTGGCTGGAATGGCCTGAAGGTGAGCAGTTTGAACCCAGGGAAGAAAGGTGGGCACTCTCCTCCCATTGGTTTACAGCCTCAGAAAACCTGCTGGAGGGTCATCTTTGCCTTTATTCCAGCTCAGTGGCTGTTTGACTAGTTTGAGAGGATCTCTAGTGGGGTTGTGGTGAAGACATTCAGGTTTTTAACCTTCTAAAAGGTTGAGAGTTCAGATACTCCAACCTCTTCGTGAGAGATGGATAGTTTCGTCCCTTCAAGGTTTCCAGCCTCCAACACTGGGGGCAGCTGCTGTGAGTCAAAACCGACTGGCAGTAGAATTGGTGGGCAGCCTGACCTGAATTCTTGAATCCCGATAGGAGTTCTGGTGACACCACGGTTAAGGCATTGAACTGCTACCCAGAAAGTCAGCAGTTTGAACTCACCAGCTGCTCTGTAGGAAAAAGATATGGTCGGCTACTTCTGTAAAGATTACAGCCTTGTAACTCTGCATGTGGGGCAGTTCTACTCTGCCCCGGAGTCTGTATGAGTCGGAATTTACTCATTGGCGCTGGCTTGGGTCTTGATAATCTTTCTGCGAGCACATTGCCAGGTCTTGCACCAGCAGATGCCTGGATGGGTTCAAAGTGCCCGCAGTGGGCTCTTAACCACTGTGCCGAGAGAACTGCTTGGTAAAGAGCGAAAACGAGCTTAGCATGTGTACCTGTAGAGTCGCCAAGGCCCTGTTCGGCCCTGCAGGCTGCTCCCGCCTGCAGACTGCCAAATGCTCACACAGGACAGCGTCTGGCCACAGAGCCTGCTGACAGTGCTGGAGGAGAGCCAGAAAGATGCCCCAGGGGCCAGCAGTGTTGTTTCTCAGCTATCACAAGGCCTCCCCAAGCTGTTTCCACCAAAGAGAACACCAGACCTGGCCCGCACTCTCTACATCAGCATCTGACATTCTTGGGAAGAAAAAAAAACTCTCCACGTGCTTTATTAGACATAATTTTTGTGACGTGCCCGTCATTCTCAGCCTGGTAGCGGCTCTCAGCCATACAAACGGGCCAGTGCCTTCCTTGTGCTCCATCATGTTGGTGGTGGCAGCTGATGTGCAGAGCCAGGGGGCCGCTCGTCTTGCCTCATCTGTCACAGCCACGATGCAGAATGCACAGAGGAAGGGTGGTCTTCCATCAAGTCCCAGAGCCTGGTGGGGCACTGACTGCATTATTGGTCTCACTACTGGTGATTAACGCAACACTCAAGAAATTTAGAATTCCTTTGTGAGACTTCTCCTTGGATGGAGTTTAATCATGACGTGTACAACTAGAAGGTGCACAGGGACCCAGTCTGTGGGCAGAGGCCATGTGGCTTCGCCGTTCCCATGTCCTTTCATCTGCGTGCTCGTTGGTCTTGTGTGGAGCTCACACGTGAGAGATGGACGGTCTTCCTCCCCGCTCTGTCTCCCCAGGCCCATGGAGCATGTGGAAGCTGGCTGTGATTAGTCACTTCCCCCCACCCCGAGCCTCAGATGGTGATGGTGAAAAACGGAGCAAAGGCAGTGCCTGCTGAGTGCAGGTGGGTCCTTGTGTGCCTGTGGAATTTCTCGGGGCAGAAAGTCACCCCTGGTGTGTCGATTCAGACTCCAGGGAGCTGGTCACCTGGAGATTTGATGGATGGTCCTGCTTAGAGTGGGAGGAGAATGAATACAACAAAACTTACAAAACAGACCAGCTTTCTCCCCAGTTGGATAGAAAGCGGTGGAACCCTGGCATCACGGCCCTTAGACACCCTTTAAGCCTGGAGCTGAACTCACCCAAGTGACTCAGCCTTTAGCCAGAAACCAGACAGGTAGGTCTACAAGGTGACTGATCAGTAAACCAAGGGTGTAGACACACCTTACAACAGCCAGCCAAACAATATCCGAAGGATGATGTTCACCAAGGCGGGATACTCAGAAGGCTGCAGAGGATGGGAAAGAAGGATTAGTAGAAACGGGAAACCCAAGGAGGAAGTGGGAAGAGTCCTGCAGCATTGCACGGTCACAGTTAGTGTCACAAGAAAAAAGGGGTGTGAGTTAGTGAATGAAAAACCAGTTTGCTTTATACACTTCCTCTCATACTGTAACAAAAAATAAAACACACCAACCAATCAACCAACTAAAAAGGTGGAGATGGTGGGTTGGGTAAAGCCTTAATCCATTGGCTGTGCAGGAAGTGACAATACAAGAAGGTGATGGTGACAGTAGGTGATCTAAATGCCTAACGTCCAGGGCGTTTGCATGCCACCAGCCATGTCTATTTTCCTGTTTTAGCCCTACTGCACAGAGACCCTGTCTTCTGTCTCACATTTATTAAAACTGATGCTGCATTTGAACCTGAGAGCAAATGAACAATGAGGAAACTGTTCCCGTCACGGGATCCATGCAGACGTCAAGCTGGGCACCTGCCCTCTGAGGATTTCTGGGCGGCTCCGTGCATGTCTGGTGGATAGGATCCCGTGTTCTGTGTCATCCTTGCTGTTCATCACCAGCCTCAAACCTTTTTAAGCTTAAACATGCCTCTTGCCCAAGCTGCAGGTACACACTTCATTTCGTTGTGTTTCAAAATTGTTGTTAGGTGCTGTCGATTCAAGTACGACTCACAGTGAACAAAAGACCCGGACCTTAGTCTGTTTTGTGGCATCCTCACCCTTCCCGACACACTAGAGCCCATTGGGGTAGTCTCTGTGCCGTCCACCTGGTTGAGGGTCTCTCTCTCTCCTTTGCCGCCCTCCACCCATCCCAGAATCCTGTCCCTCTCCAAGACAGTGCAGTATTTTCACAGATGGGAAGTTTGCAGCCACCCTGTTCAAAGGACTCCTGGTTATGCTGAGAGTGTGTCTCTAAACTGGCACACACTTAACACACTCCAAGACCAAACACGATACCTACTGCCGTGGGGTCGGCTTGCACTCCTGGTACCCCTCCATCCAGTCTCTGAGGCTTTGAATCTTACAGGAGGCAGGCTGCCTGATCTTCCTCTCTGCGTGGCTCATGGGTTCAAACCACCAGCCCTAGGGGGTTAGCAGCCCAGTTACTTAGCCCACTGTGCCACCAGGGCTCCTTTAATAGATTTGTGTGTAAAAACTTTTCTGGGCCCTGGGAAGCAAACAGACAAATTGTGTGACATACTTTATTATGATACTAATTTTATTAGGCTCTGTCTGGAGCTTAGACTGCAAAGTCTGTGAGGTTTGCCTGTATTTTACTTTGCCCTCTGTTTCTCTCTCCCCTTCCCTCCCCCTCTCTTCTTTCTTTCCATATCTCCACGTGGAGACTCTGATATGCCCAACTCATATTGTAATCCTTCTTTTCCTGAGGTCACTCCTAGAAAAACTCAACTTGTTTTTAAATCTGCAAGATTAACATGACCAGGTACCTTTATACCCAAAGAGCTCCCAATTCAGATTTTATTTTGTGTTTGTTTTTTTAGCTAAAACTTACTAAAGATCTGACACTCAGACTAACCTTGTTGACTTCCCTCCCCTTATATAAACTATAGGTGCAGGGAAGAGAGTGGTTTGGGGGCCTCGGCGGCAGGGCATTGGCCTGGCTCTGGCACTACCCTGGGCTCGAGGCTAGGCTGTGTGAGAGGCAAGATCTCCGCACAGAGGGGACCATGAAGGGACCACACAGTTCTGAAGAGAAAACGCTGCTTCCCGGGATGTGCTGCTACCACGAAGACATGCCCGGGTGTTCCTCCTCTATCCATGTGTGACCCAGCAAGAGCAGCCAGCCTCCCTAGCATTCACATGGACAAGAGAGAGTAATAAGAACCTGGCTGTCTCCTGTCCTGCCATGCTGCTGCCTGCTGCTCCGTGTCCATTCTTTGGAGACACCTCAGAGAGGATGCATTTCCTAATGCTGGTCAGGGCTGAGTTCAAAATGGCATCAGTGAAAGTTGACAGAGCAAATGAGCTCTCTTTCCACTCAATCTGTGTACATTTTGTTGGGTAATATCCTCACCTTGGTCCCCATTGTCCTTTGCTCTCTTCTCTGGCTCCTTCCACCCATCTGATGCTGCCCATTGGTCTTGTATGGTTGGTTGGTTCTACGGTGTATGTTCTTCACGAGCTACTAAATGAAATATTGGGGGTTCTAGTCCACCCAGGTGTGCCTTGGAGGAAAGGCCTGGCAGCTGCTTCTCAAAAATCAATCCCTGGAAACCCTTTGGTGCCCACTTTGGCTCTGATGCACATGAAGTTGCTTCAGTGGCAACTTACCCTCACCTGTATAGATGTGGGGGGACTCCCTCACCTGTATAGACGTGGGGGAACTCCCTCACCTGTACAGACGTGGGGGGACTCCCTCACCTGTACAGACGTGGGTGGACTCCCTTGCCTGTATAGACGTGTGTGGACTGCCCAAAGATCCAGCACCTTGTCCTGGAGGATGTGCAACCTGGGTGCTCCTTAGAGGCACGGGGTGGCGAACCCTCATCCTGCGTACCATGAGCATGTTGTCAGGATGGGCCATTGTGCTTGAAACCATGGAGGGTCAACCAGAGAGAGGAAGACCCTTAACGAGATGGACTAACAGCGACTGACCCTTGCATATCCTCTGTGTGTGTGTGTGTGTGTGTGTGTGTATATTTAAGTACTTCGACATATAAACTAGTGTTCTGGTCTTCCTCAACATCATTGGATCCATATGCTTTCTAGATTCTCCATTTTCAGAAAACACTGAGCCACTTCTCTGTGGCCCACCATTTCTCATAGCAGCAGAGTTAAATTTACATGCATGGCTGAGCTCAGGGAGCCCTTCTGGTGTAATGGTTAAACACGTTGCTGCAAATGACGGCAAATGTGTTTCTAAGCACGGTCGTCAATTTAAAAAGTGTGAGGCAACGTGTTAAAGAGCTCATTTGCTAACTGATAGGTCAGAGGTTTAAACCCATCAGTCACTCTTGGGGAGAATCATATGGGGCGGTTCTGCCCTGTCCTTGAGGGTCACTGTGAGTTGGATAATCCACTTGAGGGCAGTGAGTCTATTCTGTGAGTCAAGGAGCATGGGTAGAATAGTGGTTAAAGCAGCCGGCTGTCAAGTGGAAAGGACGGCAGTTTGAGTCCACCAGCAGCTCTGTGTGAGAGAGACAGAGAACAGTCTGCTTATATAAAGGTGACAACCTCGGAAACCCCAAGGGGTGCTCTGCTTGCCTCTGTGTTGCTGCTGTGAGTCAGAATTGACTTGGTGGGATGGACCTGGGCTCTGTCCAGCTGGGGGGGCGGGAAAGGGGTACCCTCCCAGAAATTAAGCTCACGGGAGGTGTGAGCAGCTGCATTGCTTACTGCCAGATTCAGGCACCCTGAGCAGTACCTCTGATCGATGTTGCTGTACCATCACCTGCATTCCTCCCCTGCTTAAAATATGAAAACTCTTCTGTTGCAGAGATTAGCCAGAGTGCTGATAACTTACACGTGTTCCTCTTGATATGTGGACTCAGACAAGTGAAGGATCCTCTGTACTTGGTGGATGCCTTTTCAGGTATGTTTTCAGGCTGCCTTCCTCATCTGTTTGGGGGTCCTGTTTGGTCCATGTCTCTGGAGTACTTCATATCTTTGCACTCTTTGTAGGAAGACAGAGCTTTTAGTAAAGGGGTGAGAGTCACACACTACTCAGAAAACAACCAGGAAAATCCCATATGGCCTGTAGCTCTCTGCAGTCGGTTTCTGTATAGATTTCTACATTCCCATATCCTGTAAGGGAGCCCTGATGGTGCAGTGGTTAAGACAGTTGGCTGCAAACTGAAAGATTGGCTATTTGAATCCACCAGCTGCTCCATGGGAGAATGATGAGGCTGTCTGCTAAAGTAAGGCTGGAATAGGGCAGTTCCACTCTCTTGCGGGGTGACTGTGCAGCAGAATCCACTCGGTGCCAGTGGGCTTGGGGGTTCTGAGGAAATCATAAGAATAACAGACAATTACAAGACTCAAATAATTTTATCTGAAAAAATGTTCTGACAGTCTCTTTGCATAATGTTCTTGGAGTTTTAAGTACACATACTTTTCAGTATTTGTTACTTTTACACTGCATTGTGGCAGATAAGGTAGGAAGGGGGACAGTGTGTAGCATTTTTGGGAAAAAATTTTCATTTTTCTCTCAAGGCTCAATTTTCAGCCAAACAGTAGACCTATAAGGTAATACCAGAGAGGAATGTACTTATTAGACCAATCAACCGTTATTAGACCAAAAGGGCAGCGTTTGCCCAGGGAGAAAGCTCAGGAAGTAGGAAGGGGTAGAGTGGAAATGGGAAACACAGAAAGGATGTGGGAAGAGTGCTGCTCCAGAGTGGGGACTACAGGCTGTGTCCTGAAACAAAATGACCATAAATTGTGGAATGGAAAAGTAGTTTACTATAAACCTTCACCCAAATCACACAAAAAATAGTTTAAACATTATTTCAGGACTAAAATATTAAACGTATAAGTTTTAAATAAATGCTATTTCAGTTGACATGGTCCTTGATACTAAGTTTAGCTGCATCCTTAGCTGTGATTTGAAACAGTTTTCTGTTTCTTTCTCTCCTTCCCAGCCTGGCATCGAGAGGAGCCCAGCGTCTACCTGGTCATCGTGGGCCCAGAAGTAAGTGGACATTTATCTCATCGCCATTCTTTTCTGCGTCCTTGTTAAAATTAGTGTCTGTTGCTTTTAGAGTCAGAAGATTTTGTAGGTCAGGTAGAGAGGGTGTAGGCCAGAGTTTTGTAGCTGCGTCCTCACAGTCAATCAGTTGCCACAGTGGGTAAGAGTTTAACAGTGTAGATTCCTGGAGGTGTCGCTTGGAGCAAAGGTTATTTTCTAGTTGGTGCAGAGCACACCTAGAGGAGGGAGTGTCAGGCCCCCTTTGGAGTGGGGAAGGACGGGGCAGTTTGTCTTTTGCCCTCAGCTCAGTCAGGCCCTTACAGAGGAGGCCTCTGCCTGCTGGGGTCCCTGCAGTGGGGGCGGGGATGTGCCCGAGCCAAGGGCCCAGCCATTCAGCTCAAGGACTCGGGCTGCCTTTCCTAGCGCCTGTGGTCTTGTCCTTGTCTGCAGCCACATGGATCCCTGAGGCAAAGGTTGGCTTTCCCTCTCATGGGTTTGGACGAGGTGTCCCCATGAGGGCTGAGCTGGAGGCTCCTGCTCCAAGCTGTGGGGGCTTCAGTGGGAATGGACCATGACAGTGACTTAGTCATGACCGTGGGCCACTTACATGACCCCGAGTCCCTTGGTTTAGATAGTGGGAGAGTCATGCTGCTTCAGCTGCTTGGAGCTCAGCTCGCCTGCAGCCCCTGAGAACACACAGAAGTGATCGTGTCGTAGCCTCCCTTGGGGTTCAGGAGAGCTGTGTGCGCATGCGAAGGGCTACTTGCAGGGGTAGGACAGTGCGGAGCCTGACTGTGGTGGCACACTGGCCACTGTGTGGAGAGAAGGCATCTCTCCATGTACTCTCCATGTACCCTGTGGCTCACACACAGATGTGCATAGACACATGCAGGTAAACACATGCGTGCATGATACAGGTGAGCTCACGTGCACACACACATATATGCTCACAAAGCACACTTCCACAGAGGTAAGTCCACATGAGCCACAGGACACTTGTGTGCGTACACACACACACACGCCCACGTGCAAGCCCATATGCACATCCTATCAGACTTCAGGCTCACATGGCATTGCTGTGGCACCAGTTCACGCCGAGTTTCATGATACCAAAGTTGTTCTTACTGCCTCTCAGATACGTTCAGGTGTGCGGTTGTTACTGTTCCTGTTTCCAAATTCTTGTTCCGCCCTCTTCCTGACGGCTTGAGTCACGGAGGAGGTTTCGTTTTCTGGGGACACTCCTCATTGTGCAGCCAGGAAGCCTCAGGCCCAGGCCTCTGCGCCACCACCACTGTCCCCATGGCAGCTGGAGGACAATGGCTCGCCTGTTGTCTATTTCTGTGCTTTTGTTCTGTTTGTGGAAACTTTCTTGAGAAAAACGTCGACATGACTTGAGAAATATTAAGCAAGCAGTAGTACAGATGGTTGCTGACAGAAAAATTATGGACGTGATGCAGAAAGCCAGTGTTGGGGAAGCAGTTGTGTAAAGTAGGAGTGCGCACCGGGAAGGGGTGTGGAAAAGAACATTTGGTGGGAAAAACACTTGGACTCACTGAGCTGAGGAGATCCAATTTCTCGGTTTGACTTTTTCTGTGTTGCGTTTCCCTTAAGAAAACCTGCAGACAGGTGGCAAACTAGGAACCGCAGATGTGGCAGGAGTCTGTGAGAGCAAGGAGAAGAGACGCAGGAAATGCTTGTGCTGGGAACAGAGACAGGAGGAGGGGACTGGTTGGAACAGTTCTATCTGCCTCTCTATTTGTCTGTCCATTTATCTGGCATATCCTTCCATCCACCTTCCTGCCTGCCTACCCACCTACCATTAGTTACCTGTCCCACCCATCTGCCTGCCTGCCAGCCCACCTATCATCCCATCACATCGTCTATCCACCATCTCTCTTATCTATCACACTATCCAAATGCCTGCCTACCTTCATCTATCATCTGGTTTTCCATCTCATCTATTCATCCACCTGACTCTTAACCTACCCGCTCATCTACCCATCATCTTATTGCATCCATCCATCCATCCATCCCTTCCTTCACTTTCCTTTTACCTCCATCATCTCACTGTATTCTTCCATCTTATTGCATATATTCTTCCTGTCTGTCTAGCTTCTGTTTGTGTGCATCTCTATCTTTTATCGATTTATCTGTCAGTTTGCGCATGGTTTTCATTCCTCTGAGGAATTTTGCTCCTCCACTTTTCAGAGAATAATTCCTGTGGGACGTAGTTACCTTCGGTTTGACTGTGGGAGGACTTGGAGGGTCAGGGATCATGATCTGAGTGTCCCAGGCCTGGCCATTCACTGCTGCCTGCTGTGGGTTGGATCGTGGCCATCCTCATACATGCTGTAAATTCTCACCTCTGCACGTGGTTATACCTGTTTGGGAGGAGGTTGTCTCTGTTCTGTGACTGAGCCCCGCTCCGTGTAGACTATGCTTGAAGTCATTATTTCTTGAGATATAAAGAGATGAAATAATTAAGAGAGCAAGCAGAGATGGCCTAAGATAGAGGCCCAGACATGTGGAGATGACTGTGGAACCAGGAGGCAGAGGCTGAAGAGGCAGGGCTGACACAGGGAGAGCCTTCCACTTGGGCCAGCGATGTCAGCAAATGGACATCTTTCTAAGTCACCTCACAAACCCACATACCATTAAGTGGATTCTGACTCATGCCAACCCTCCACTGAGTTTTCAGAGCTCTAAATGATAAAGGGAGGAGACTGCTCAGCCCATCTTTCTTCTGTGATACAGTGGGTGGATTTGAACTGTTGACCTTTGGGTTAGCAGGCTGACACTGACTATCCTGTGCTGCCAGGATCTGTTACATCCTGAATCTGTCCAGAGCTCTCCTCCCATGGGCCCTTCACTGACTGTAATTAAAACATTTGTAGGGCATGAAGAGCACATCCTTTGGTTACAGATGCCCTGCTTAGTGAGACCAGCAGCCTATGCCAAGCTGTGTCTTCGTGCTGCCATGCCCTGGGGCCGCCAGCACCCTCTGAGACCTTTGGGTGCTGCCCAACCTGACCCCCATCTCGCTGATTTGCCAAGTACCTTATCACGCTGTCATGAGAAGATGGACTTGTGACGTGTGCAAGAGGCCAAGCCTCCAGACACATGGAAATTCATGCTTCAGTATCTCGTATAATGGATTCAGTACACAGAAGAATGGCATTTTTATTTGTATTATTTATAACAGATTTCTTGAAGGTCCAAAACTGTTTGAGGTGGGGCCCCATGTGGTCTCACAGAATGAGGTCAGAGCCCTGCTGGATTTACCGTTGATGTCAGAGGAGGGTTACTTCACAGTAGTGGAGCTGTGGCCAGGCCCCTCCTGCCCGCCCTCTTCCCTGTTGGGGGGACAGCTTGCTGGACGTCCTATCCATCCTGGTGGCTCAGGAGACACTTAGCAGGGCCTGCCCTTTGCCTCTGGGTCGAGACCGTCCTGACCCCATTCCGCTATGGTGAGGGGGTAACTCCACTCAGTGCTCACAGCGAGGTTCCTGCGTCCCCTCCTCCCCACAGAGCCCTGCTGTCCACATACTACACCCCGAGACCACATGGCACCGGTCAGGCTCCCTGGGCATCCGAAGCAGAAAGCACCTCCAGAAGACTGCTGCAGAGTGGAGCTGTCCAGGGCTGCTGGAAGGGATGAAGAGCCACCTCAGGGCAGGACAAGAGCAGGGAATTCCAGGGCCTGTGAGGCCACTGTTGAGGCCTTCACACCGAGAGGTGAGCCCCGACTGACTTCCATCTCTTGGTCATTCTGTTCAGGGTTCCCTGCCCCAGCCACGGCGACAGTGCCCTTCTGTGTGGAGAGAGCAAGCCCTGAGCCCAGCATCACCAGACTTCATTAAGGGCGAGGCCCTGTCTGCTGAGGTTAAACAAACCCCACATGGTCACTTACGGTGTATGCTCCAGGTGCACTGAAATGGCAAAGGCCACATGTGTGTCAGCGTGCCACTCTTGGTGCTCAAGCTTGGTCTCCCCTAAGCCAAGATTTATGCCATTGATTCACATGCATGTGGACAGTGCTATTGGTGGAGAATATTGAATATTCCAGGGAATGCCCCAAGAACACACAAATCTATCTGGAAGGAAGTGCAATGAGAGCGCTCCCTAGAGGTGAGGACGGTGAAACTTTGTCTCACATATTTTGGACATATTTTTAGGAGTCAGGCAGAAGGACAGCATGCTGAGAGGAGAGAAGACTCTGGAAGTGATGGATTGGCGCAGTGACTGTTACAGTGGTTTAAGCGTGGCAGCGATTGTGAGGACGGTGCAAGGGAGGGCAGGGTTTCTATCTGTTCATAGTATCACTGTGAGTCATTGTCAACTTGAAGATACCCAGCAACAGCGTCCCTCGTGGGGCAGGGTCTGCTCTGATGTGGTCACCTCCGTGATGAGATCCTAAGTGACCCCACTCTATGATGACAGCAGCTGTGGGCAGTTTTTCAGTTGAAGGGTAGCTCCATGGGGATGATGTTGCAATTCTCTTGGACCTTTTGCTTCATCTGAATCCTGCCACCAGCTTTCATCACCTGACCTCAGGCTCTTGGGCCTCCAGCCAGCAGTCTACCATACTGTTTGCCTGTCTTAGGATTCAGCCAGCAGCCTGCTGTACACCTGCTCATGTTAGCCCCTGCAGCTTTCCAAGTCAGGAGAGGCCTCTATCCCAAGGTTTGACCCACAGACGTGGGAGTCTCCAGCCTCTGCGAGCGTGTGAGATGGTTCCTTGACTTAAATATGTGTATGTATATGTAAGCTTCACTGATTTTACTTCTCTGAACACATAGTGTGTTTTTCTGAAAACTGAGAATTAGGGAACAGTGAGTCTCTCACAGTGTACATTGTACAGACCTGGCACTTAATTCCTCTGAGCTTTTCCTATGGGGAAGTAGAGAGAATAGAGCTGGTCTGTCTGCAGCAGTGTGTCCATCTACTGGGGTAGAGACCTGCACACGACTCTGTGGCTCGCTGCCCTTCGGTTACCCTCTCGT